TTCGCACATATTTGAGTTTGAAATTGATTTACATTTATTTTATTATATAGATGCAAATTTTTTAGTTCTATATAAAATAAAGTTATATGATTTATCTTCAAGCATCATTTTCACAATAATGCTTATAAGGATGACTTGCCTAAATGTTATATAGATAATTCACTTTAAATATTTGTTTATTTTGCTTTGTCATAAAAGCTTTTGTGTAATGAGCGTATTGAGTATCAGACGCTATCTCATGAGTGTTATAATAAATACATAACTACCTGATATATTTATCTACTTGAACCATGATAATAAAAGCTAAGCTTTCCAAAACTTTCTACATCATTTTTGCTTGCATTTACGCATGCTTGAGTTCAATTAAATTGTCAAAATTACACAAGTTTGTTTTAAATTCTTCAAATGTATGGCTAAGTTATAATTTCAAAGACAAGTGAGATGCAATCAATTTTTTTAACGGATTTTGCTATTGGATGGAGATTTGATGATAAACTTACCAACATTATTTGACTTAGTATTTCAGTGGAGAAGTCTCTTTAACTAGTCAAAGTCTGTTCTTCTGTAGTATTTGAATGTTTAATTGTTACTTGCGGCAAGTGGTTGATGTTACTAAGTTTATATCTAAAATGATAGAGTATCTGTTTAAATCAATCATCCCACCTGTGATAAATTTTGCAAAAAGAAAAAAAATTGATTCACTTGCAAATACTTTCACTGAGTCAATCAGCGTGAATATTTTTTGCACAATTTTATTATAGTCTTTCCAAAATCAGACCAAAATCCAATCAATTATCAACATGTACTTAAATGCACATTCTGATGAATATTGAAGGGATTCAATTATCATATCTATGATAATTTTGCCTCCAATTAAAATAAAAAGTATGGATTTTCAATTTCAATATATACATGACCATTAGCAGAAGTCGTAGCGATATCCATCTTTAGCGGAAACATGTTCCTTGCTTTTTTATATTCAAGTTCAACTGATTCTATGATTTCATGAACATTATTGATCATTACTGACTACAAGGAGATATTTGCTTGATGGGATCCCATCAAAACGTAAATTGCTTGATGGAACCCATCAAGTTTCAATTTATCTGATGGTACCCTACCGAACAGTCCACGTCATCGTCAAATCGGCTTCTTGAGAAAGCACTGATGTTTCAAGGATGAAAATGTCCTCAGCAATTCATGTGGGCAAAAATCTTCATTGTGGTAGTCTAGTGCTGTAGATCTAATGGAGTAGATATTTGATGGTTTGATGAAAGAACTCACGATTACTTGACGTGGAAGGTGTATTGCTAGTGGCATTGCCATGTATCTCAGATCACTATTTCCTAATCCAAAAGAGATTTCTCCGATTCATTCTGATTGTGCAGATTGTTTTTGGAATGCGAGTGCATCCCTTAATGTCTAGAAGCTTTGATAAATTCGGTGGGGTCTGGAAATCTTGCAGGCATGAGCATATTCAGTTTTGTTAAAACTTCAGTGGCACACAGTCAAAGTCATCGCAAAAACACAAATCATAACATATTCGTAGAACTCATTTGTACAAGAACATACTCATAGTAGAACACGTATTGAAACTCACCGACGGTGTACCGTCAGTGGGGTACCATCAGATAAATTGAAACTTGATGGGTACCATCAAGCAATTTACGTTTTGATGATGTCCCAACAAGCAAGTACCTTTGACTACAAGTGTATTTATACTTTTACTTGATATTTACTTTTGACAGTGAAGACATTTTTGTTGTATGGCGGGAATAACATGTTTTGTTTACTTGAGCATTTTCTTTGTACCTCTAGTGATAAACGTACGCATCTCCATATGTATTACGTGTGTCTTCATTTTTGTTAAAGACAAAGAAAATACTGGAAAAAAAAAGTAAAGTCATACATCATGGTTTTCTCGTACACTATCCACAAGACTTACGGCACTAACATGATATGATGATAGTATCTTACTACCAATGAATGGATCTCTGCATGCGGAGGACTCATTTGTTGGTCTTATCGACCTCCTAGCATCTTTTCAAATATTAGATGATTTATCTATTACTATTTACTACATTGGAAAAATCACTACTCCATTGAATATTGTATTTGAAACACCATTCATCGATGTCTGTCTTTGCTTCGCTGAATCATCACTCCCTTGTTACAATGTTTTAGTGTTACTTTGTGAAGAGTTCAGACCCAAATACATATTATGTTCACAAGTGTTCAACAGAAGATACAAGGCGATTTATACAGTATATTCAACTTTAGTGACTTTTTATCAAGCTTCATGTCTAAGCAACCTATCTCTAAAACTTAATAATTAAAATTCAGTACCTATACAATTTATAATGAAAATTAGAAGAATTCAAAATTGAACAGTTTCATTACCAGTTGAAAATAATATCAAAAACTTTTGCAATTCATATTGTCATAGTGAGATTAATCATAAGATTGGATATTTTGACAAGATGTTCAAAGCTTGGAGGAATAATATTTTGCGTATCTATTATACATCGCAATGTAAACTACATAAGCTTTGACTCATATCCAAAGCATGGAAGATTGGGATAAATGTACTTAAGTTTAAATCAATCAAGTACTTATTAATGCCAAATTAATCGTATTAACTAATTATCTTGTATTTCACTTTTTATCATACAAAATTATTCTTGGTAAAAAATATGAAATGATTATAGGAGATCATAGAATAATAGGATAAATTGAATTTATTCTATAACTTTGGCATTAAATTTTGTCATAATTTTAAAATGATACAACTGAAATTGTTGATGAAAATTTTGATCAGAAGATGATTTTTGTAATTTTGGTCAGATGAAAAATATCAGAAGAATAAGTGGATAATATTAAAATGGAAAAACGAAGTTTGAACACATATGACACTAAGACTCAAGTGAACAAAGATAAATAAAAATCTATTATAAACTTCACCTTTTTTATCTACTTTTGATTATGTTTAACTTGATTTTATTTAACTATGAATATTGTGAACAAATTAATGTTGATTTAAAGAAAGCAATGTTTAAATGTATTGAGTGAACGATTTTTTTTCACAGTTAAAAAAAGTAAACAACATTACAATTGGTAATCTTTGCGTTTGATCAATAATATGGTGTAATATTGAATGATTATTTAAGTGAACTCAAAGCAAGAGTGTTGCTTTTGTGATTATGGCTTGTGAACATTTTTTTAAAAATATAAATTAAATTAATAAATAAACACATACATACGTAAATATCTTTGTAATATATTCTTTATGAAATAGTCACACTCTTCATATAAAATCTTCATTATAATGATGAAAAAAATAAAATCTTGAATTTTATCCATGTAGTTTGCACTTGATTTATATTCTACAAGTTATCAGCAACTTCAAAAAATAATTATACAAATGAGAAAAAATAGGAAAATTATGGCAAAAAGTAAAAAAATAAATTAGGCTGGATTAAAGCAAAGAGAGGTAAAAATGTGTGGTTTTGTATATATATAAAACCATGTTTATATCTATAGTTTGGGAAATTCATACAGAATTTGATTTGAATTTAATTTATGTCTTAAGCTTTTATCAAATTTCAATGTATTGTTATAAACAATCTAAGAACTAAAAAAATAGTAATATATATATATATATATATACACACATACATCAAAATCTCCATGTTAATCATATGAATTGTTTTCACAATTTAATACTGCCTCACATAAATAAATGAATAAGTAACATTCTAAGATCATTGCTTTGATTTCAAGCTAGAGAAAAAAAAATTCAAAAGATTGTGGCGAATAAAGAATACTGATAAAGTGATGTCCAAAGTAATCATAAATTATTTTGGGTATAATGTACCATTCGAAGATAATATCGTAAAGCAAAACTTTGATTGGGTATTTCTACGTCCATAAGTTAAAACTTGTTATTTGACTTATCCCCAAGATGTACTGAAAGACACGTTGAAAGGAGGTGCATACAACAAATTTTTGTTAGGACGAGATATGTTTTGCTGGTTCAGTAAAGTAAGGAGATCAATCGGACAACTTTACCAGATTACAAGAAAGAAGATAAATGAAAGTTGAGAACTCTGCCAAAAGTAGCAAACAAAACAAGGCGACGAACCCACCCTATGTGGGCAAAACCCTATAGAACGGTGATCAACGAAACAAAGCATATGGTCACGTCGGATTTTGACAGGCGAGAGTTTTGACAGTAGTCAAGGGCCATACCCTTACCCAGGTAGTTCTGATGTCAGGACACCTCTCTACATTTGTCGGCGGTATATTCCGCCGACAATATAGAGAAGGTAGTACGTAACATAAGTGGAGAACCTGGCTAGTGGAGAGAAACCTCTGCAGGGTTTTATTCGGGTAAGAGTCATAATTTCACCATTCGCTGCGCGAGGAGGACATTGTTGAATTAGAGGAGACATTGGTCTCACTTCTGGGGGTCAAGGATAACGACACCGGAAGTATCTCGTGACCCAACTATAAAGAAACCAATCCGACATATTGTACTTAAATCTTGACAGGTCACAGCCCTACTTGAAAGATCCATCGGGTAATCTCTCGGCCCCTCGCAGCTTTGATCCGCAAAAAGATCCCAGCTGACCCAAGCTAAAATTTGCGTCGTTATACGTAACAGGCGTGCAAATATTCCTTACCACAGTCCAGAGCATGTCGTTCACGGTGTGCTGTTTTCCACCCTACCTACTCCAACCGCGTAAGAACCATCTGGGACGGCGTCGAGCGGGTTTCGGTGAAGATTTTCTGTGGTTTCAGGACACCACTGTGAAGTGCAAACAAGGTCGAAGTTTGGATGGAAGGCAACCGCGTAAGATCGGAGGTCGTCGGACAGCAGGAAGAATGAAGTGAGAGCGCACTGGTGCTGTACATGGTTCGGGGAGGTAAACCGCGTTCGGATGGAGGCGAGAGCGCAGTAACGATGTAGCACCTCGCTACTGTACTGTACTTGGCGCGGATCAGCTTCGTTGGGGAGCGTTGAGGAGTGTTGAGAGGAGCGTCAGGGAGCGTCGAGGGGAGCAGAGCAGCGCTCGAGGTTTGCCTGGAAGAAGACGCACAACAGACGAACAAATGAAAGATCGACAGTTCGGAACGACGAGGCGCTGAATCGCGAGTGTCGGAGGATTTCAAGTCGGGGCCCAAGAAGCGCGAGCTTGCGACGAAGGGTCTGCGGACGACGGGAAAACGCGAGCTTGCAGAAACCTAAAGAATCACGCGGTAATAAGGAAGGAAGGGAAGGTGGCAATTCGAGAGTGGGGATTGGAAGGGCATCGTTCTCGTGCGCGGGGAGACGATTTGAAGAAGTTGACCGGAAGAGGAAGAGGAGAAGGAGCGTTATGTCGTCAAGCAGTGGATTGACTTTCAAGCTGCATCCACTGGTAATACTGAACATAGCAGATCACCACACTCGAGTGAAGGCGCAGAGTGGGGGTGCAAGTGGTCGACCTCCGAGAGTTTTCGGGTGTGTTTTAGGCGTGCAGAGTGGGCGGACTGTGGAAATTTTTAACAGCTTTGAGCTGAAATATGATCCTGCTCTCGATTGTTTGGATCGGCAGTTTCTCGAAACCAAGCAGGAACAATGTGAGCTTGTTTACCTTTCTTCTTCCCTTTCTGATTTACTCTGTCCCGTTTCGTCGCCTATTACGAGATTTCTCCGTATCTGGTCTGTAACCACGCCAATGATGTATCAGCCTTTTAGCAAGTTTGAGTCGAGTTGCACGACATCGTAATTTGTGGGGGTTTGAACTATTTGCTTTGAATTGCCCACCTTACTCTAAACCCCAATTGGAAGACCGAGGGGAATTTCCTTGGAGTTCGCCTGATGTTGTCAGACTGAACCTGGGAGGCGTGAGCTTTTTGGGGCTTTTAAATTCGATATTGGATGAGTTCGAGATGTATTTGAAGCAGTAATAGCCAGCGCAAAGACATACTTTACAAAATTTTCATAGACGGATTTCCAGGGTCTTCTCAAATTGTATATGCTGGAGAGTCTTTTTCACAAACGCGATGTCAAGATGAGTTCTGTTTTATAATTGAATCATCGCTTGTACTATTACTTTCAGACAAAAAAGTCTTCCCTAAGTATGATGTGCTGGGCTGGTATTCTACCGGAAGTGATGTCCAAGACTCCGACATGCTAATTCACAAGGCGGTGAGTGTTTTTGTTGCCAAATGCCGGACTCTCTAAAGCGTGAATACAAATGAGAGTAATGTTGCCTGAGAAAGAGTCGAGTACAGTTCAAGGCCAGACGACGCAGAAAAATGTGATTCATCTCATCAAATGTATGCGAACATATCTAGGTTGTATAAAATGAGCATAGACGACCTTTTGTGCATTTACTATTCGATGGACAAAAGGATCCTCGAATTGGACAGTTGCTTTGAAGAAGTAATAGTGTTTCGCATTCTTGATAAACTATAGATCTTTGATGCATCTATTCTAGTCGAGTATACTCCCAACTGTGACATGTTTTCGGTAGAAAGATTTTTTAATTTTTAATTCTTGTTATTTTATTTGCGACAGCTGATGGATATCAATGAAAGTCCTATCTACATTCTACTTAATCCTGCTATCAACCATGCGCAAAAAGATTTGCCAATAACTTTATATGAAAGCGGTACGTTTGTTGATCCTATCGTATGCTGGTAGCTGTTTTATGTATTCATGCAAGCTGCATCTGTATTGAGAAGTTTTCAAACTGCAAAGGAGTGATTGATTGTTGCTTTCGTTTCGACTCATGGCTCCGTCCATTAATTTTGTAGGACAGCTCATGTACATTAAGTGTCGGTAGTTTCGTGGATTTGGCTGTCGAGAAGACGTTTGGGCTTTGAAGACACTCTTGTGTCCCTACGAGAAGTTGCAAGTGCAAGACTGTCTTTGGATTTTTGACTTGTGTATGCTTGAATATGCAGAATTGCATGTTATCGAAGGGGTTCCATCTCTCATTTTCGTGAAGTCGAGTTACACTATTGAGGTACTTTCAATACTAGAATTTGGAGTAAAAGTTTCATATCATTACCAAGTGGATGACCTCATGTTTTTCTGTGGATTGTCCTGTTTCGTGACCCTATTTTAGTTTCTTTTCAAGAAACTAACATGCAGGTTGATACTATTTCTCCGTTTTACCTTTAGATTATGACTCAGTGGTCATGAAATCCTATATCTGCAGACTGTTGAGGCCGAGAGAATTTCTGTCGATCATGTTGCTCATATCAAGCCCTCAGATGGAAGCACTGCTGCTACTCAATGTAAGCATCTAAGTTATCATTGACACATATATTTGCTTTCTAATGAGCAGTTGTCATGAAGTTCTTATTTAGGAATAGTTTCTGAAGGGTACTTCAGTGTTGTTTGAAACTTCAGTGTTGTTTGTTGGCAGTCACAACAGTAATGGTACAACTTTTTTTCCGCTAAAGCTTCAAGTTTGTAACCAGTTTGACACCTTCTTGGATGACAGTGGCAGCCCATTTGACTGGCATGCACAGTGCCATTAAGATGCTCAACAGTCGAGTCAAGGTTTTACACCATCATCTGGTTTCTATTCAGAAAGGTTGACAATTAGAACCTTCTTGTCAATTATAAGTGTTTCTGATGACATTGTCAAAGTACTTGCTGAGCGCGCGGGTGTTAGCAACAAATTAGGTGTAGCATAGAGCCATTGCTGTTTTTGCCTGCTCAAAGTTCTTGAATTTCACAAGCGTACCTTTTGAAACCTTTTGCAGGAAACGTTCCGTACGAGCACTCGCTATTGCGTCAAATTTCTAGTCTTGTGAGAAGATTACCAGCAATAGATTCAACAAAGTTTCAGGATGACTTTCTTATGGTGGGTTTCTGTGGTGTGGCTGTCAATCAGTCAGCGTCCCCGTACATAAGAGTTTTTTTGACATTCTACACAGTTCTCAAGCTGTTACTTACGTCTGTTACTTGATTGGTGTTCTGATTTTGTAGGAATATAATGACACGCTTCTGATGACCTACTTGGCTACAATTACGAAGTGTTCAAGGTGCGTGGACTCTACCGAGTAACCTCTTAGTGACGGCCCTTATTCTAGTAGAATGATGATTGGCTGTTATGTCGGAAGCAATTCTTACATATCATGTGGCCTTGATGTAGTCGCGAATGAATCTTGGTCGTCCGGGTCTTTTCCCCTTGAACTGAGTGATTCTCTTCTTTTCTGACTTAATTCGTTTGTTTCACTTCTACAGCACGATCAACGAGCTAGTTGACAAGTTCAACGTAGCCTATGACAAACAAAGCAGAAGAGGAGGGGGTCGCTCAACCTTCATCTGAAGGAATTTCAGAAGAAAGAGGCGCTTCGATTCGATAAGATAGTACACACCACGGATCCAAAGTAAAGCTCACTTTTATCTTAATCTCCGACCACAATGGAGCATTTAGATCAGAAGTCTTAGCTCTTGCCGTTCAGCGGTGCGTCACCAAGTTAACGTCTGCTGTCAATATTTTTTGTCTTACTGAAGTCTGAGGCAAGCAAGCTAGCTAGCTTTGTTTCTCAATCTCATAGTGTGCTTCGTTGTGGTCTCGTGGCAGTTTCTGTGTGCCATAAGTCTTGAAGCCTTGGAAGTCGTCTAAATGAGGCTGGTAAGATTCGTGTATCATTCGAGTGACACACTGGGACTGTTTCTTTGTCCAGGAGTCAAGTCGCCCTCAAAAGTTATGAAATATTGCATCCAAGATAGAGAAGATAGGTTGAGAATTTCCTCATCAGCAGTTGGGTTTGCCCTGCAGACCAAGAGGCTGGTTTTCATTGTACACGAAGTGTATCTGTTGATAATTTTGCAATTGTCGTCCTTCTTTGGTAAAAAAAAGGATAAGTCCATGATGACACAAGGTTACGAAGGAAGGTAACATTCATACAGATATCTGCTAAGATGTTTGTGTTTTTTCGGAGATCACGTTCATGGGGAATTCTTACAATTACCACTGCTCATCCGCTGTCCATGTGCCGAGTTGATTGTTCCACTTTGTTGTTACCATGACAGTTGATGTTGAGAAATGGTTGGTAACACTAAAACTACTTTCCATTCATTCTGGAAGTGGTATTAGTTTTCATTGTCGATGCTCGTCAGTTTTCCTTGTGCCATGATTGAACTCATTTACATCTTTGATAACACGGCGATAGTAAATACCTCTTGATTACAAGCACCTGTACGTTCCCAAAGCAGGTGGCATAGCTTGATTGCCTAGTGGCGTACGAGCCACATACACATGCCTTCAGGGTACCAGCTTTCCTTAGATCCGTGTACCTCCTAACTTAGAAGAACTGAGCTTATACTCCATCGCATATACGCATCGAAAGTAAACCTGAAGAGCAGAGTTTTGAATTAAGGCATGTGTCAGCTTTATCACAGAGCATGAATCCAACGGTAGCTATTCGGCGTATGCATTTGTGAATATTTCAAGCTATTACGAAAGTGAATTCTCCAAAGAAGTTGCCTCCAATTCAATGCCTTATGATTACAAAAGTCCTACGTTCTGTATAATGTAGACAGAAACTAAGGCTAAATGACAAACATCTATGCACTTAGTCTAATGCGCGGAAGTTTCATTATATAGCGGAAGTTCGATGTCATCTTGAGAATGCACAACCCGTTCGTGGTTGTTACATGTGTATGCCGGTTATGGGACCTGAGTTCCCGTGCCGGATGACAGAAGAGGTCACGGAAGATCGACAGCTATTTTTCATTATATCGTCGGTCGAGGTTGATAAGAAAAGGGAACGGACAATGTTGACTGTTAGATGCACGGATCGGTCAATTTATCTATATAGCTGGACGAATAGTGCAACTTTGTTACAAAATTTTGTGTCATTTAATTCGTGAAGCAATATGACAAGTTTTTTCTCACTGCTCCTCATTTCGGTTACTATGTCAGAATATGACAGTGTAAAGATGTTTTCGTCTTCAAGTAGTGTGTGAAGAGGAAGAATGGTATATTATCATTCTTTCATACAATTTGTTTTACATCTAAGAGCTAATATTTTCATGCTTCACACAGCTAGGTGTTTAAACTTCTTTCATTTATTTATTTCATTATTTTGTTTCGTATCATTAGGTTCCGATCTGTCGTTTCAGATATCTGGTCTACTAGTGTTCGATCAATTGTTCCACATCAGTTCAATTTTGCACACGATAAAAGCTTCTCGATCTTGCCCTTTTTCACCCTCCGACAACTGTTCGTGATTACTTTCTACACGATGTTCGAAATTCTGAGCAACCGAATTTGTTCCTCAAGCAGGTCTGACTCTCATCCAGACCAGTATCTACAATACAGTGAGGCGAGATATCGGATCGTCCAAATTTTTCCCAGTAAGTTCCGGCGTTTATCCTCCAGGGAAGAATCGTATTGCGTGGAAACGTGGTACATTCAATAACGTGCACAAAGGTGTGAATAGGTACCTCGAATGGCACGGACAATTCCTCGGCAAAAGATATCTCAATTGATGTGTTTAAGTAATAGTACTGACACATAAAATAGTTGCACAGAGCACAACTACTGATGGCTCAGAAGTGTTTTACTGCTGAAACCCAAAACTGACATCTAAGCGTTATCCTGTTTAACTACCTGCTAAATGCTCAGCCACGTTCAGATGGAACAGTGTGCTTCGCACACGAGAGCCTCTTGCGCATGTTCACTTACTGTACTTAGAATTTGGAAAAGACTTCAGTCTGTTTACAGAACAAGTCAGTTGAAAATTGTCAGATCTCACCGAATAAAGGCTACCGGTTTTGAGCAGTATCTAGTTGAAGCACAACTGTGGCACAAAGAGTGTCACAAGCATATTCCGTGAACCGATATCAATCGGAGACCAGAGGAAAAAAGGGACTTTTCATGAAAGGCGAAGGGAATTACTTATCAGAACAATGTACACATGAGTGAATATGGAGGAAAAAATCATGCGGCATTTGACTGTGACCGGCTGAAAGAATGACAATAATCTCGAGGTCACAATGAAACTGTCTCGACCGCTAAGGGCTCATATCACAGTGCTCTAGGAACTCACATCAGCAGAAGAAACATGCAAGAACTCCTGACATGTTCTACCATCATTTCAAAGCCTAACTTCGTCTCAATACAAGTAGATATTTTGATGGTGGGAGGATTTAAAACATCCTGAATCTTCATCCCATCTTCCGACTGTATGTGGGATATGAAGTCGCTCTAATCCCGAACTTTTGTACCTTGCACAAAGGTCGCTGGGTGAGGTCGTCTGTCCTACCACCCCCAACAAAAGAACCTGATGAAATAGGAGCAAATATCTAATCCCCAGCTGTTGAACCTTCTCAAGGTCGCTGAATGAGGTCGTCCCAACCCCAACAAAAGAACACGAAAGAAAAGGAGCAGATATTACCGTGCAGCTAATCTCTCTAAATCTGCCAACGGGAGCACAACGTTGCCACTGTCAAGATGAACAATTCATGGCAAAACCCCCTAATGTCAATCAGGCAGGGGTACGACTGATGCGAGATTATACACCTCTCAGTGGCCACTTGAACAACTTCACAGACTTGATCACACTTTCGGTCCTGGTGCTGGACCGACTCGGCTTGTCCATAGTTCCGGAAGATAGATGGTGTCCCAAAATTGGTCTTACTCTTGCAGTTACCCACCCGGCAGCGAAATGTTGATGTCCGTCGGAGTCCGCCTCTCGGCTCCCACTTGGGTCGGTTGCCAGCCTCCGGTTTGGAACAGTCCCATGCTCTGGGGCGTCGACCCGGCTGCGCTGCTAGCACTCCCTCCCTGGTGGTTCGGCGTTGCGCTCGGAGCTGAGCTCGATGCTACCTTCACGGCCGACGGCGGTTCGGTTTTCGACAGCCGAGCTGCCGACGCGGGAGGCGAGGCCACCGTCACACCCGTGGATCCCATCGCCGGTGCCAGCCCGATCGACGTCATCATTGCGCTATTCGATTCCCCGTTTCCCGCAGGCGCAGGTGAGGTCGGAAGTCTCGTGGGCTTTATTCCAGAGTCGGGAACAAAACTCCCGACGACAATCTGCAGGCTCAATCACAGTAAGAGAAAAATGACTTGAGTCTCTTGCTGATCCATCGCCAAATGATAAAGACGGGAAAGAAGAAAGAAGTATTCAATACATTATATTCCACCTATACAACTATTGCGACCGACACTACAAAGGATTTCTCCAACTGTACCGACGCCACAGACGTTAGTGCGAGAGGCATAACCGTGACCAGGTATCCCATTCCCTGGTGGTGAGAAATGGCTCCCATTTGTGACAGATAGTGCGGTCGCGTATAGATGCCAGGTGCGTTCCAAGTGTGGCACATACACGCGAATAGAGATGGAACAATGTATTTCCTACTCTTAATTTCTCGAGAACACTGAATGAGACATACACCATGGCTACTATATTGTGGGAGGGTATCTACAATTTACAACAAGTCATTGACAGAATGAGTATAAACCTTTAGTTAGAAAACTGAAGGACCAAAAACTAGATCTCGTTCTAGCGGACAACTCGTAAGGATGACAGTAGCATCATCGTCAATACTGGAAGGAGTGCTTGATAACTCGAAAGCTCAGGACACTCATTACAAGACTCCAAGTAAACTGGACGGCACTATACCACCGGAAAAAGCGGTTTCGATCTTTAGTAAAGGCCATGAGCTCGCCGGCTTAGAATGGACAAAAGGATTCTTACCGACAATCAAAGAACGTATAATTTAAAAGGACCTTTCAAGAACTGGCGGCAGCAGAAAATGGAAGTGTTAACAACACCTATCCACGGCCGAGGAGACAAGAACGAATGAACTACATTACAAACCAACAGACCAAACCAGATGAAGGCCTTCTAGTTTCATCTACTGGTTTGAGAGAATGGAGAGCAAGATCAAACATCGGCTCGTTCACTCATCTCCTCGCACGCCAGCTCTTACGTTCGGCGTAAACGTGGCTAATAACTATGTGTTCTAGAAAATATAGACATGCTAGACCATATGTCACACTGTGTCAGCAAAATCACGTAAGAAGATCAGTCTCGTAGGTCCAGGAGCTATGATTGGATCAATGAAGTGTTCGTGGCACATGCACAACACTAGCTTTGTCTGGCTACTACGACTTCGGATAGTGGTTCAAGAACCCAAAGAAAAGATAGGCACATCAATAATTCGAACAATTTGTCGAAAAATTACCTGTACTGGCGTAGCCGCGACCAGTAATCCCGACACACTTCCTCCTACCACTTTCCCGTCGTTAGCGGCCAACGACACGCTCAAACCACCAGTCCGACTACGAGTGCCTCCGACATCAGTGGGTAGAAACGAACCTGACAAGGAAAGAATCTCATAACGACCCTGCTTGACCAGCGAAAGTGATTATTTCGTCAGTAAAGCAGCTCCGAAAAAGGGCTACTCTGGTTGAGAAGCTCATCATGCTGATGCTCAGGCCAAAAATCGTCCTAAATTCTCTACATGCGTAAAATTCTCTAGTCTAAAATTCAGAAACCTCCCTGAGAGAATGTAGCATCAAAAAGGTAAGGATCACAGCTGCATCGTATCCATATCCACGGGAATTACACATTCCTAGAATGTACAAATCATTAGTTCATAAACCGAGAAAGACCTGCCCTCTCTGAGAGAAAGCCAGGCATTGTTCATAACTAGGAAAGCACTCGCCTCGTAGGTGATGTTACCGCCGAAAGAAGAGTCATGACGTAAGGTAACATTTGATATTGAACCATTCGCCGATAACACGCATACTGCACGCGGTCCTTGTTGCGAGAAGCCAAACACCTTGTTGGCAACGTCCTGTGAGGCGAGAGAGGGCCACCAAGTTAGTTCGCCAAAACTTTCCAGCAAGTCGCAAGAACCCAACGCAATTATCATAACATGCTTTTTATTTTGTACCTCTCCGGCGGCAATAGTGATTACGTGCGGAGTGAAACCTCCTCCGGCTGCTCCTGCCAACCAAGCACCTGAACACACGGTTTGGAACCAAATTGCGAGAATGATTCTAGCTCCAAAACAGAAAAAGAATTCACGGCGCCGACAATATAGAAAGAGAGCCCGACAATAACAGGTACTAGCGAGACAGACACAACAAGACATATCAGAAAATTTCAGATTCTCAAGAACTACTTGACGAGAAGGCCCCTCCGCTTTCGAAAATGCAGTATGACAAAGACCGGACGAAGAGACTAAAGAGGAGTAGCCTCCTCCAGAGACACGCATGCGGTAAGGACCACAGTCATCACATCGCTTTATCGATGATCAGGGTTGGAGTAAATACCGTTTGCTGTAGCTGCAAGAAAGAAAAAAAAAGATTCATTAGAAAAGCTGGTGCGGCTTACCGCATGCGGACGAAGATTGATACAAAAGCAAGCACACCTCCAAGGTCTATGAAACATGCCATACAAACAAGAAAATTACAAGGATGTGCACGAACAGGAGGAATCCCGAGCACGATAGAAGAGCGAGGATCACAAGAATACCTAAGGCGGCGAGCTGTTGTTTCTTTCCTGAACCGGGCGGTCGCCCTCGCCCACGTTTCTCGGTAGGAGATTGTGGCGATTTGGCAGCGATGGGAGTCAAGGCAAGCGACACTCCCAGGCTGCCTCCTGGGCTGGCATCTGCGCCAGGATATTTTCTAGGCCTCCCCCTTTTTCTCTTGGGAGGCTCGGGGCGGGCTCCTAAACTCGCTGCCACCATTCCTGACGAAGCGATGGGAGTGTAACTGCCTGCTTGTCCGATATTCATACTCATGATTGCAGAGTGCGGAGTTGTTGCAATACCATCTGACGGAGAGGTGCTGCTGTTGGTCGCGGGACTGGGGCTCGGGCTAGCGAGGGTGATAGCAGTTGCAGCAGGGGCGGGCCGCAGAGGGGCGGGAGTGTGCAAGCCAGAGGGCGACGTCACGGCCGAGCCAGCAGGTCTTTGTTGCAAGTGAAGGCCCAAACTTCCCGGCATGCTCCCGCCTCCTCCTGAACTGACTCCATCCCTGCCTTCCATGCATGTACTAACTGATCCGGCCCGCCGGCTGAAACCGCTTCGATCCGCACACACTGCTCTTCAGCTGAAGATGTCAGCTAACTATTCCTACTTCGGTCGTCGGCTTCTCCCTCGACTTCTTTGGCTCTGGGCCCCGGCGTCGCTCTGCGGTTCCTGGCCTCTTGCCCTCGGAGTTCGAAAGAGGATTTGAAGGAGCGCGAGAGTGCGACAGCTATCTAATCAGCCCGCAGAGCCCCATCTGCACTCCAAACCCTCGAGGAACATGGTAGCAGTGATTCATGACCTCGAAGACGTCTGAGATGCCTCCTGCGCAAACAACCCAGCTGACTGACAGTCTGCAACATGTCACAGACGCACAAACCGCGCACATTGTTAGACTCCATCTCATTGCCGGCGCCCCACAACGCGTGCCTGCGACTGGACTAGTGTCTTTGGGCACAACGATGTTTAACTAAACCCCTCCTATCCTCATCGTCCAACATCGCATAGCCCTTCGATCTCCTGCCCACTCTCATTCTCCAGCCCATGGGAACTTGGGTTCCGCGACACCACCGCGGAATCGAGTCCGCGATATTCATTGCGCGCCCTGGACACAATCTACGACGCTCTTTCTTGTGGGCTATGAGATCGGGTTCAAGCACGCGCGAAATACAATAGACTCGATACACAGCAGCATTCTCTTCGTTACAATGCAAAAGCAGAATCAGCAGTAGAAGGAAGAACTTACCTTCGGAACAGAATGAGGAGAAGTAGGGGATATAACTCTTAGTCCAGGAGATTGATTATATGCCAATAAAACAAAGCACGGGGTAGTAAAGGACTAAACTATCTCCGGATCAGCTGAAAAGAAATTCGACCCTAATGTAGAATCATTTGAATATTTAACAATGCTCGCAATTCCATTTCCTCACCATTTTTTAATTTCTCCTCCTCTCACGACACTCTCTCGGGAGAAGGGCCTCCGTTACTCCCCCAAAATAAATTTCCTCAAGAAATGATCCCATCTCGTCTCTCCCCCTCCCCTCTTCACCTACCGCCTCTCGCCCCTTCCTCCCTCCCTCCCCCTCCTCTCCCTCTCGCTTCCCCTCCCCTCCCCTCCCCTCTCGCTCGCAATCCTCTCCCCCCCTCACCTCCGCTCCAGAAAACAAAGGAACCATGGGAGCGACAGAGAGGAGAAAGCCTAATTCTGCGCCACTCCTGGCTCTTTCAGCCGTCCGCTCCCCGTCTTCGTCCCCCAGCAGCCCCCCCCCCTCCCCCCCCCCCCCCACCCTCGCGCGATGCCCTCCCTCCCTCTCCCTCCCCCTCCTCTGCTCTCCTACCCTCCCCCTGCCTCACCCAGACAGCCCCCCGCTGCCTTGCCTGCCCCTGCCCCTACCCCTGGCCCAGGCCCCGCTCCACCCGCGCTCTGCTTCCGCGATCGCTTTCACTGCAGCACAAGGGGGCTGCCCCGCCCTCGGATGTCCGGTCCGCACCGTAGGTCGGGGTATCTACGGTACTGCTGCGAGCCCCTCGGAGAGCCCCCGCCTTGCGCACGGGTAGGCGTATCAATCTGCCCGCCCTGGCTCCATCTTACCCTACCCCAATTTGTCCGTTAGGAGCGGATAGATACGCTCCCCTCGGCCACGTTACGCTCCTCTCCCCGCTCCCCTCCCCTGCCCCTCCCCCAACCCCATCCCCCTCCCCCTCCAATCCTCTAATCCTTCGCTTCGCTTCCTTGGGCTTCTCTGGGGCTTCACTGGGCTTGCCCCCGCGTCGCTCTCCGCGACTAACAACTTTAGTCGTCGTGACGTGTCCTCAACGGCGCTTTTATTATCACAGGTCACGAGGGTGCGAGCCTCCTCCAGCACAACCTCCCGTCACCGGCTACCGTCTCGGGCCTATCCAGCTCGGCCCGCGCGCGGCTCAAGTCGGTCGGTCGGTCGGTTTACGCACCGCGCCGGAGTCTTGCCACCGGAGTCTCCTCTTCCGTTTAACTGCTCTTATGTAACGCGTGCAGCGCTCGGGCCAGCTCAGTCTCCTCGCCCGCGCCGCGAGTTTTAACCCCAACCCCCAACCGGAACCCGACCTCCCTTCCCTTTTGCCCCAAAGGATGGCCAACATTCGCTCCCGAGCCGCGATGCGTCGCGTCGCTCCACCGCCTAAAGCAGCGAAATTATCACCGCCTGCGACTTATTCCAACCCAGCTGCTTCCTTTTCATATTTAAAGCCGTCGTACGACGAACTATAATATTAATTTCTCTTCCTGGCGAAGGAAGCAATAAGAGTGTTATGATTTCCAGCTTTAGCTCCCTACTCCCTTTTTACTTCTTACGCCCGAAAAGACGCCCACCTCGGGTCACCTGTCCGAGTTCGAACCCGACTCCCACTCTCCTGCCCCTGTCGTGCCCCGGTGAACAATCACGGAACTCGTCCCTCTCCGTCGCCGTAGAACCTCCACTTGTAGCGCGTCAAGTTGGTGGACATAAAACGTGAGCCCAGTGGCGCCCAACGGAAAAGTAGAGCCTACCCTACGGCTGTTGTTTTAGCTTGAAATTATTATGGCCTACCAGCGGATGCACGAGCAGGGCGAATATTCCTCACGCCAAGAGTATTTCAAACTCTCCCGTAGCATGTTCCGATGAGTGAGTGAGTGAGTGAATGAGTGAGCTAGTGCATAAGGACAGCTGAGCTTCTCTGGCCATCAGCAGAGAAAGTGGCGACGGTCAACTTCAGCACCTCAACTTGGTGCACTTGCGTTTCGTCTCCACCTTTGGTGTGATATTTGTTTGGACTAGGTTGATTGTGATTCGAGTCGATTCCGTTCCGTTCACAGTGAGGTGTGGTATGGCAGCCATGGCCTGTCGATTAAGGATTGATCGGTCGACATGTTGAACATGTAAGCGTTAGTGAGACTGTCCCTCGAGTTCCTCTTGGATTCTTTGAATTGTTAACTTCCAAGCTTTAACTTCATTGTACATACTATGAAAATATCTTGAACTGGATTATTCTCCATGTGAAACTGTTTCCGAACTGAAATATCAGAGCTCACGATTCCGTTTGGTATCATTCCGTCTCACAAATCTTTGTTTTATATTCTTTAATTTTCTGTGTGTTTAGAGCCCATTCTCATTATTCGACTGCATAAGCTTTCGAGTACCTCGGATTCGAACATATATTTCCATGCTGTTAGCTCATTGACTGGATTTGGACATACTGCCAATATTTGCAGCAACATTGATCACCATTTGATCATGTAAGAAGCAATGATTGTGAAGAAAATTTCTAGAATCTCGCTTGGAGCACAGACGCTTTTTGAAATTATACCTAATCTCTACGTCACTTTACTCATACGCAAATTCATCATATACGCATGCCATTATTATATATTTGCATGTGATTAATTTTATTTAACTATTTCCCACAGAATTTTACAACGAAAAGAGGGATTTTCTTTCTCGTGAATTCTGTTAATGTCTGAGAGCGTTACTGGATTCCCTGCATTGTAGTTAGTATAAATATACTCTGTAGATATCTTATATCTCAACAACTCTACTTCTACATTTTATCTAGTGGTTTTGAGATGAAGAGTACAGATACAATATATAAATTTTTCAGTATATTTTTGACATAGGAAGGTGCTACAATGGAAAAACAGCAATTATCATACTTACTCGCTTGCAAATTTAAAGAGATCGCATTCCAATACCACCGATATTATATGTTATTCATCCATATAAATACTGTTTGGTTTATTGAATTGAGTCATCTTTTTGCGTGGCAAAAGTTCAAATCCTTTACACTTGTAAAACTAAGGGCATTATTTGTTCGTATGAGAATGTTTGGAAAAGGTGTAGTGTTGAAGTTGAAAAAATTCGAAAGTTAAAATTTTATTTGGCCTTTATGTTACACGTTCTCACATTTCAAACATTCAAAGTAAAAAGGTACAAGGTACAGTCTCGAAAGTATTGTGCAAGCGGTTGGAGCATGTTCGCGTCCGAGAAAAACCATGTTACGTGAATTAATGCACATATTTATCATTAAAGACATCCTCTCGTATTCTAATATACCACCTTGTACTCCCCCGTTTGCATATGTCAGTTTTATTATATTTTGCATGCTCAACATGGCATATGTAAGTAACTCGAATGCGCATCTCCCAAATCACAAGAAAACGTATGTAAAACCTCAGTGGGACATAAAGGTCGATATAACTCCAATTATTTGTCCAAAGTAATGAAAAGAATTCCTATTAAAAGCGTATTTTTGGGAAAGAGCGGAGGAAGCTTCACATTTTCCCCTATGTCACCTATACAGGAATTGTATATATATGAAAGCGTTTACTCCACGACTGAAACCATCTCAATAATTCCTAAAACGAACATAATAATTGAAATGGAGAATACCTTCGAGAACCCCAAAACCCCAGTAAAAAACAGTTTAGAAGTATTTTAAAAGGATCAGATTCTCGTTTGGTCTAGAGAGGTCAGGAGAAGTGGTACACCTCGCGTTTACCACTGATAAGCAGGAGAGATTAAAGTGCCCATTGAACACACGCTCTGTCTTTGACTGGTCGGGCGACGAGAGTATTGTACTGGTACATCGCCCACTCATTCATACAACGTTACACAAGCATGGAGGAGGACGACGACGCATACATGAGCTTCCTCCGCTCCTGCGCACCAGAGGCCCAGAGTTGATGGCTTTTGGGGCGGGCCCCACCTGTCGTGCCAGGCAAGTACCAGACTCTGATTTCCTTTGGGCAAATCCTTTTCTTTTGCTGGCTTGTCGTTTTACTGGTCTTTGACCTTTTTGACGGAAATATTTGCGCATGAGGTCGAGCAGACGGGGCTCTTAAAGGAATTGCCTCGCCCACTCTTCTGCGAGCGTGACAAGTGGCGATGGGAACATGCACTCGCAGAGTCGACACCGTCCTCCAGAGCTCCATTCCATGAATGGGGAATCCGAACGCACAGTGCTGCTTGCCTTTCCGCATGTTTGCAGGCAGCATCGGGTGTTTTCGGTGCTGAAGCTGGTCTATGAGTTATGACAGTGAATTTTTATTTTATTTCATTTTTATGGAGATTGCTTCGAGGCGTTGAAGTGACCCTCTTGTACAAATGGCGAGCGATTCTTCTTATTCATTGACTATTTTTATAAAACACGTTTCTGCATAAATCCTCGAATTAAGCCTGGAATCCATCATGAGTCCGCACATTTAGATGTAAATTTAAAGTTTTAAAGTTTTCTTGTCATGCCATCCGACGGTGTCGAGTTAATAATCTTGTCGTTAAGTTGAACTCCGCACAATGTTCAGTGCCAATTTACAAGTGACGCTCTCACACAATCAGCATCCGAAAACCTCACCAGTCTCTTAAGCAAAGTAGTCCTAATGCAGTTTGAGTCATAATTGCGCTCTTTAAACTACATACGTATTATTGACTCTTGTATGTGGTACCTTTTTATCTATACGTTAACGACGTATTTGACAATCCCCCACTAGCACCGACACATATTCTCTTTCTACATCTAAAATGATGCATGCAAAATTCAATATTTAATTAAGAAAATCATACATCCCTTTAGACTAATTGGATGTATTATTTAATAGATTCATAATTTATCCTTTTTTAGCCCAAAGGCTTTAGTCTCAAAAAATATTTGGATCTGTAAAATACGACACTCTAAATAATCAATAAGGAAATATTACCCCAGTAAATAAGAGAAGGACTTTTGACTTAAAATATTAATAGATACACAGTCAAGTACGATGGTTTATGTAATAACAATCTGTCTTTCAACGTTGAATGATGGGTTGTGATTTTGTAGGTACAACGTTTCAAGACATACATAAGGACTACAGGTCTGTTATGATTAATTACAAAAATATAAGTTTATTGACTCTATCTATATTAGATTTCAATCAAATCTTCAAATTATTCATTGAAAAATGCTAAAAATATAAATTTTTGGTTATTACATTTTTATAGTTATACTAAATTCACATATTTCAGATTGCGACCTCATGTCTATGCACAAAGCTGCAGAATCTTTGTCTAATCCTATGTAGACATAGAATATTGTATTTCAGCTTACAATTTTATTTTCAAAATAGAATATGAAAAACTGTGAAATTGTTTACAAAGACCTCTCACGAGTTGTAAATATTTAATTGTTGCATCAAGCATATTATTTGTATAAAATATTATGCTACGTGGACAATATTACTTGTGATACATTCTGATAACTAAGATATTACATGCTTTTCC